TTACACTTAAAGTGGCATAACTCAGTAGAATGAAGAGACAGAGCTTTCAAACTTTGAACGTGTATTGACGCACATGTTCTCTACCCTCTCACTCAATGTGGCCACCATGAGCCTCCTTCACCATCTCCAGGCGGCGTCGGAACGCGCCGCACGCGCGCTGAGCCTCCATAGGATCGATGCTGCTGGCTGCCTTCTTGATGGACTTCTTGAGGCTCGAGATGCTGTCATGGGCACGTGCGTTGGACCTCTCCTCAATCGCGCTCCACATCCAAAAGTCGCACGGATTTAGGTCGGGTGAGTTTGGAGGCCACGTATCCTTTGGGACATACAGAGGGATCTTCCGACTAAGGAAATCCTGCACCCTCCGGGAAGCATGAGCTGGAGCCGAGTCCTGTACAAGTGTGACTTTCTTCAGGTCGTAGTACTTCGCCATCCAGGGCAAAAGCACTTCTTCTAAGATGGCCAGATACTCCTCTGCGCCGATTCTTTCTCCAGCAGGTATGAAGTGAGGGGGCATGACGCGACCGTCGCTCGCGACGGCTCCGAACACCATCACAGAGGCTGGATTTTTGCTTATCATCACTGGTGGAACATCACCGGGGTTCGAGGCGATGACTCTTGAGTTCCGGCGGTTGGCAACTTCGTCTACCACAAACTTCTTTTCGTCCACAAAGACTCTCACGTCTCCTCCATGGTTCTTGAGCTGGTTCAGAACCATCGGGACCCTCTCCTTCCGTAACGCTTTTAGACGCTCCGTCAGAAGGTTCTGCCGTTTCCTACTATACGACCTCATCCCGAGGTTCTCCTTGACAGCCCTGCTAATGGTGCTTTTGCTCACCCTTCGGTCTCGCGCTAGCTTACGCATTGAGACACCTGGTTTGGCCTCAATAGACCTTTTCAAGCCCGCGAGAAACCGAGGATTCCGTTTGCGGTCACTTCGCGGCGCATGGGGACGTCTACTGACATCTCCTCCACCGTCCATAGTAGCGACAGTGCGATATACCGTAGACTTCGGGTATCCTGTTGCGATAACGATCTCTTTCGCGCTTTGTCCAGCGCGAACTAATTCAGCAACTGTACATCTACGCTGTTCCTCCATGACTGTTATCGGTTTTCGTGCATCAAAAATATTAGCACGTGAAAGAGCATTGTTGAAATAGTATCATGTCAAATTTTCAGCCATATCCTCCAAATAACAAAATTGTGATTAGGTTACGAACTTTGTCCCAATTTAGCTGCAACACCCGGTAGTCATCTAAACTGAGTTTTGTTGAGATGTTCGATTTAATGGTAGTTTTGTGTACCTGTTTGTAGTGACTTTTGATGAAAATTATGTTTTAAAGCTGTTTTATTTTTGTATCTTGTAGGGAAATGCAAATTCTAGTTCTGCTGAGTTTCATATGGCCTGATTAACTGACCCCGTATTGTTCATTACTTAAGCTTCGTTTCGCCACTGCTCATACAACCATCATGACGCTGATTGGCATGCTCTCGCCGGCAGTAGGTACCTACACGTCTCGATGATGGCGCCGGGCTAGGTGACCACAGCGCGGTGCACACGCCCACTGGCGGCTTCCAGACCTACTCGGACACAGTGGTACCGACGCCGCCGCCGCAGCCCCAGCAGCAGCAGCCACCGCCACCGCCGCTGCCGACGGCGCCCGGCGCGCCGCCCAAACCGAGTCACCAGCCGCCCACCGAGGTGAGCTGGCGGCCTGACCCTTCAGATAGGGTGAATCCAACTACATGCGTGTGGACGTCAGGGAAAGGGCTGCTATGGTTGCTATTCATTCTTCTCCTGTGCTGTTTTTCTCTTTGTCTGTTGAAATAATATGCGAATATCCAGCGTTGTTGATCACATGCGCCCCTGCTGACGCTCTGATTCTGTTGCTTGCCACAGGAGTAGGTATGGCACCAACAGGCAACAACATCCTGTCGCACGCTGTGCGGCGGCGGCCGGCGTCGGGGGCCACCACGTCACCGCGCACCACTCGTACAACCAGCCGCCGTCGTCCGCGGGACGACCCATTCACCTCCAGTGGGTCCCCTCGCATTGCGGCCTTCCTGGAAATGAGAGGGCAGACACCCTGGCGGAGGAGACCTCCGCCCTGGACCAGAACTCAGACACACACCACTGGACACCAGAACGATCCAGAGAGCAGCGGCAAGGCTGGCGCGTGCGAGGACCAGAGCGGCCTGGCCCGACGGCTGGTATCGCCAACTGCCGGTGTGGGCTCTGTCGTGAGGAAGCAGACACCTCGGCCCACGCGCTGATGCGGTGTCCCGCCCTGGTGCAACTGCCGGTTCCGAGTGCTCGGAACTATACACCCGACCCACGAGGACCTGCGCAGCATCGACGCAGTAGCGGCCCTGGGTGCCGCCTTCGTCCCCCTCCAGAGCCGGCAGGATACGCCCTAGGGCTGGAGGGAAACAACAACAACAACAACAACAACAACAACAACAGAGGACATGAACCCACTTAATGTGTTCAAACGCTACCGCGACAGCCGCAAGGTGCTCGAGTACCGGACGGAGCTGTTCAGCTCGTGTTGCGAGGTGCCATCGGCGTGGTGCCGGCGCAATATGAGCACGGTACGCTGCCGTGCGCCAGCTGCCTCAGTCTGCTGGCCAGCCCGGTGAGACGGCACCTCGCCGTCGCCGCCGGACGCTCAGGTGGGATCTCTGCTGTGTTGAGCTCAGCTTGAAGTGACTTCAGTCACCCAGCAGCGACTGGAGCGGTCCGAGCGAGCCCGTGTACCGCCGCCAGTGTTTGGTCGTGTTTGGGGCCGTACGGCGCGGGTGATCTGTACGGGCGCGGCCGTATCTTATGTTACGTATCGTAGCTAAGCACGACTTGACACTGTCCACCACGGGACCCGCCCATGTTGACGGCGTCGCAATGTACTCATTGATTGACTAGTGCTGCGCGACTGCTCGGAGTTGACCAGTTAACGTTTTGTAGGCTTTATTATCACTGGCGGAGGCGTGGGGACTGGGGAGTGTTTTCTATTCGTCAGTGTTTGCCGAGGCGAGGCTGCTTAATGCCGATTGTGACATGTTACTATGTATCCTCACGTGAAGTCGTCGGGTTATCTAACTTGGTTCATCAATAAATGGTGCGACCTACAAAGTGACAATGAGATGAAAACGACTGAGTCATCTTTATGGAATAATGTCTGTGACGTATGTGAAAGCAGGTCATATTGGTGTGCAGGTCATACGAGGTCAACTGAGGTCACTGACCCAGGACTAAAACTGGTTATCCTAAGATAACTCGTAACGCTCGCAATACACTCGTTTTTTCCGCGAAGCTCTAACTCCCATCAGGGGCCCGAACGGCGGCGGGCGGGGTTCCAACGTACCTCCGGCACCTTCACCCGCACACCGCACACGGGCGAGAGTTCAGACAAATCAGAGGTCACTGGTCCTTTTAACATGTCAGGTAAGTGATTCCTTTCTGGGTACGTCAAAGGTCAATGACCCACATGACGGAGGTCAGAGGCCCGTGACGCGTCATTCATCTCAGTTCAGGTCAGATCTGAGTTAGGAGATGTGAGAGCTCAAGTTGAAGTGACACCTATGGTTAGCGATCTTCGGGGATAGGTCGAATGTGTGTGACCTGTAGGTACTAGAAAAGGTTAGAGGTCATTCATCCACCAAGGGCTTATATCAGGGGTCACTGGCCCGTTATGAAGATAGGTATGAGGTCGTAGACTCGTAATCCATCAATAGACATTAAACGGCCACTATCTATGAAGGAAATAGTAAAATCGATCGATTTGTAAAGGAATTGCTTCATTTGGAAGCATGCAGTTTGTTTACATTTTACGCGTCAATTATGTCATTGATGCGCCACAATACCTACCTGTCAGCCATATTGGAATACAAATGCTCGTTTTCTAAATACTCATTCTGGCTTTTCTAAGGCTTGCCGAGCTTAGAAATTTTACCATTAAATTCAGAAGACAAAGTTGAGGGGTGATTTACGTTTTAACAAAAATTGAAGGGGTCCGCTCTCAAATGACCTTGACCTTTGACCCCTCATATCTCAGCCCCCAGAGCTTGCCGAACTTAGATAATTTAGGATATTAATGAGGGTGTCTAGATGTATCAGTTCACAAAAATTCATCAAAATCTGAGGGGTCCGCTTTAAAATGGGTCACGTGACCTCCACGTGGCTGCAACCTTTGACCTGACCTAACTTCTAGGTCAGGGCTTGCCGGGCTTAGATTTTATGCCCATCGTGCTCAGCATGTCAATTTGCATCTGTGTGCAAATTTTGAGGTAATTCTGAGGGGTCCGCCCTTAATGACCTTGAACTTTGACCCCTAATATCTCAGCCCCCAGGGCTTGCCGAGCTTAGATAATTTTATTCTGTGATGACCAGGTCATGCTGAGTGGCTGGTGTAAATTTGGTGAGATTCTAAGGGGTCCGTTTTTATCATTTTTTCCATCGAATATGAATTTCGAATCTGAATTTGAATTTGAAGCTAAGTATATAAACGTGCAAAAGTACCTCGATATTTTTGTTGCAGTTCTCTTTCTTTCATTAAAAAAAAACATCGACAAAATTTTCATTTAAATTTTGGTCAGATTTAAGTGTTGTTATCTTCATTTTTGATAGTTGAAATCATAATTCATAAGATTGAGGTAAAATGCAAATTCCCCTTCCCTATTTTATCTTTAAAATATTTTTATTTTCGTTAGCTTCTAGAGACATTCTTCTTATTTCAGATTCTACCCATAAGCGGGGCTTCTACCGTAATTCTACCACTTTCAAAGATTTATATGGAAGCAATTATTTGAGGCGTTTCTAAAGCAGACGCGACAAAATTGGTGCTTGGCCTTGAAAGCAAGAATACCGTTTGCCTTGGCCCAACTTTCTTCTTGTTCTCTGGCGTTCTCCTCTGTTGTTGGTTGTGGTCAGTCCTACAGACTTTTCTCGTCATCCGTCATATCTATTCTGAGGTATTAGCGTTGTTTTTTCGTTTACCTAATATCTACAAGTGTTTTGTTCCAAGTGGGTGTCTTTTAAGATCCCCTTTTGCTTTGCCTTCTTGCTCATGCATGGGCATTGGCCGGCATGTCGTTTAGATAGGGGCGTTTCAGTGTTATATAGGGCCTTGTTTCATTCAGTATTAGTGGTTTATATAGCCTTGGTCTTAGTGTTGGTGCATCAGCTTAAGGTGCGACTTAAAGCATGAATCAATACTTATTACTTACTAGAGGTATAAATATTGGTTTTGGTGTCTTCCAGTGCTCTGCTTTCATGTTTATGCAAATTTGCATAAATGTTGAACAATCAACATTGACATTGCTTTAATGCGTTTTATACTGTAAGCAGTGTAAGCTGTCTTAATTTTTAAGCCATACTATGACTTGTAGAGTGTAGACTCAGGAAACTTGAACATCTGACATGGTTGGTCTGATATCTGGCTTTTCTTGTTGATGCCAGTGTGATCTTCCCCATTTGTCATCGCCGCAGAAGTGATGGATATCCCGGGTAGACTGCGGAGCGAAGAGCAGTGCTCAGCTATTGTCGGCTCTCCCAACATCAGCACCGCTGCCGAGGCCGCAGAGGCTGCTGAGCGCAAGGAACAGGAGGAGGAGGGGCATCAGCTCAACACGCCCTGGACTATGTGGATTGATAAGTGAGTCGCATTGCTACTGTTACAGATGCTCATCTTTCTTGGCCACTGCTCACTGAAGCAACCAGTGATCAGGTTCTGTCTTCACCCGATAGTTTTATTGACGGCTGCCCTCCCCAACTGTGCAGTGCACCGACACCCTCCCTTCTCAGGGCGGTCTCTCACCACCACAGATTTACCGCTTCCCAGCTAAACGCCCACCTCTCCTCCCGCCAGGACGGAGCGCGGCGCCAGTGCCGCCGAGTACCAGGCCTCGCTGAAGAAGGTCTACACCATGACCACCGTCGAGTGTTTCTGGGCCGTCTACCGCAACATCCCGAACGTGCGCGACCTGAACCAGCGCTACACCTACCACATGATGCGCGACGATCGCAAACCACTCTGGGAGGACACGCGCAACTCGCGCGGCGGCACCTGGAAGGTCAAATGCCGCAAGGAGGACTCGGTGAGTGGCCGACTGGGGTGATGACGAGGTGTGTGGAGGGTGACGCTGGAAAGAGTGGTTGGGATGTGTGAACCATGTCATGGGGAGATTCCTGATGCCGTAGCTGAGACGCCTGGACGGCTAGCCTTTGAAGTGACGTTCTCATTGCCCTAGGAGACACTTAAATTTGCGTTTTTTTTTTGCGTGAATTTAGTCAGTACTCAGTAGGTATGTTTGGAATCTTGGATAGTTAGGTATTATCGAATTTGCCAGAGCTAGAAATAAGTGGAAGCATTTGCCGGTTAAACGACACTGCTTAGCTGTGTTATCACGCACCACAAAGTAAGTCTTTGTTGTGCTGTTCAGTATATGTGTCCTTGCTATGCGTCATGACTTACTATCGCGAACAACTGAAGGGCAAGTTCACCAAGCTACCTTATCTAGTTGATGTTATTATCACCCTATATTTCTAACAAAGGCGCAATGTGGATAAGGTATGAGGGAATGCTTGAAGTGGTAGACATGATACGGCCGAAGTACGGAACAGTCGTGCGTCCAATCTTGATGGGTTGATTTTTACCGGAGTTTATAAGGCCAATGATGAATGAATTCTAGCCAATTACATTGGCCCATGCGTTTGTACCTATACTGCCGCAAAAGACCGTCCTTTATCTAAACCTTTATTTTTCGATGCATGCAGATGAGAACATGTTAACGGTTGTCATTTCTCTGATATATCATATTTTGAGATTCTGAGGCCTTTCGAGTACATATTTCCATATTGCACAAACGAATCAATATGTTTCGACTGACCGGCTGATACTCTGGCCGATAAGACTTTTTTGGAAGAAATCGACACTAATGTTATAAAAGAGAAGATAAGCCCACTTGTCGCGAGCCTTGGTCACGATCCCTCTTTTTTAAATTTGAGCTATTTCTATCACTATTTTCGCTTCGTTTGTTAATTTTTTACCAGTAAATCGTCATAAACTGCATTTCACTACATTTACCCACATACTTTCACAGTTTTATATAGGTGTCCGTCAAAATTCGTTTTTTTTTGTTTTTTTTTTTTAGTGGCCTTATATATCCTCGGCCTGGCGAGGAGGAGGCTATCCGGCTCGTGAAGCGAGACCGGTGGCCACTTGGAGATATGCTGTCCCACGATTTCAATATTGCCTCACGTCAATAAATGAGCTTATTTCAGCGCAACACGCGTATTTACAAATTGCAACCGAGCTCCGCCGTGGGGTAAGGTGGGCAGGGGTTTTCGCACTACGGCTGCGGTTGAACTACCGTCTGTGGTAGAAACTTCAGGACGATGGCGCGTTTCATACGAAATCTGGCGCAATGTTTGTTTGCTTCTGAACTTGTACTGTTATTGCTGTGAATTCTTGAAGTGGGAGTGTTTCAGTAACAATTTGTGGATTCTTTGAGTTTCTTTATATAAAGATAGAATAGTATTATGAAACTTTGTTTCTGGGTCACGGTACTTGGCTCCTCATTCAAAGCATTACGGACCAGGTAAGCAGGGTCTGCAGACTTGCATATGGTCCTATCCCGCGAAGGCGCAGAGAGCGGGGGCGGAAACTGAAAACTGTCAGTTGGGCTGGGCGAACCCAGGGGAAATCATCTCCTGCGTGCCATAAGATTTATTTATTCTGGGTCACACGCCCTTGTGGCTTGTGGCTGGTAAGTGTCGAAAAGAATCACAGTGTCGTGTTGCTGCGTGCTCAGGTACTCCAGATAAGATGTACTTGGAGATTAGTATTCGATAACAAACATGCCATATTCGGAAAACTGTAAAAAGCATTCCCCTGGGCCACGCATTTTTTCTTCTGGGTCACGAATTTTAGCGTGACCCAGGAAAAAAATCGTGACCCAGAAGAGAAATTCTGCCCACCTACATCATCAAGACATGCAAGTCTTTCCGCCTACGTGTGGAGGTCATTGCCGACAAGGGGGTTATATCGCGCATGAGGTGAGTGAACGTATCTGGTTTGACAATGCGTGACCCAGAAGAAAATTTTATTTTTTTCTGGGTCACGGACCATTTTACGCGCATGCGCAATGGCATTTTTGAATAATTTCAACTGTGAACAACCTAGGGTGCATGGTTTATGAAAAGGTAATGATTTCTAGGAAATCAGTTGTGGGACAAATATCAACCCAAATCTCCTCGAATTTTGACGGGTACCCATATCAGTTGTATATTTTACACACAATCTAGACTACAATCCGGGCTATTGCCGCTACTGCGTTTCCGATAACTTGCTACGGGTGTGGTAGCCTCAGATAATTTATCGCAGTGAGGTGGAATAGCCGCACCGTTTATTATCACCTTCCATCGTATCTTTCTATCAGCCTCAATACATATATTTTGTTATGCCCCCTGTCAAGGTCCCAGACTTGCGGGAGACATTGTTTGGTAATGATAAATGGCCTTTTATATGGCCTTGGGTAATGTTCGTTTTCTGAGGAGGCTGCCCTGGGCGAGGTCGATGTTTGTGTCACGCGTCTCGGTGGCGGGCGGTGCTCCCGTACTGGAGACGCCCACCACTGCCACGGACCAGACCGCCTTGGTAATGCCAGACACGCCTCCTCGGACCCGCATTCCTGCGTCGTCAAAACAGAGATGCCAACTCCGTGAAATATACACCTTTTTGCACTCAAAATAGGCATCTTTTCATTCAATTTCGGCAAATTGCATTCAATTTCAGCGATCTCTCATTTGCTTTGAATAGAGAGATCGCTAAAATTGAATGCAATTCGCCGAAATTGAATGAAAAGATGCCTATTTTGAGTGCAAAAAGGTGTAGATACCCTGCGTCGGCTGAGATTGTGCAAAGCTCACCAAGTCTCTGAGAAACGGTTGGAAATATCCAGTCCGCTCTAGCTCCATCGAATAACGATGGCGTGTAAGTGTGATGTTAACAGTTCATTGAATAAATAAGCTAACCGATCATACCATAGAGTCGACATTTTCACCTCGATGCTGTTGGGCCGCGGAGCTGGTTATAGCTAAAATAGGTCAGTGCGTACTGGAACTTAATTTCTATGTAACTTAATTTCTACCGAGTTCCGTCGTAAGAACGCTCTCCCCGGTCCCACTTCCCCTAAGCGCATTCCCTCTATTCATCCCATTGTGTCTCTATGCCGGTGACCACGGCTTTTTTTCGCCGCTGGCTGTGATAGTCGTGTGCCGTGCGGCCTTACTAGCTCTGTCAGGGCCGACACAGTGGCTGACTTACCAATCGACATGCGCTGTGACCGTATTTGGTCCGACGTTTGATACAGATCACACGGACGCCTCACGGGCCTGTAGTTTGTCGGTCCAGAACTGCAGCGCCAGCGCGGCGGTGTACGTGTGTGCTCCAGCTGCTGACCGATGCAGCAAGGCCACAGGGAGATTGAGATGTCGATAAGTTGTGTCTGGTCAGGCTCCGTTTGTGTTGCTAAGGCGACGGTGCGAAAAGCAAGCTGTGCCTCGTAAATGCCAGTGGTTGCATCATGTTTGAAATAAATTTATTAAATTGTGTGAAAGTCTCTATTACTACGTTTCCGCTCTTAAAAATCGAGCGGACTCTTCTCAAAATATGAAAGCTGTTTAACAAATGGCTCATTGTAGGATCGCTTTGTTTTGCCGACTTGCCGTTCTTTGCACGGCGAAATGGCAAAATCCTCTGCAGCGCGCGAGTGGTCAGTCTCCATCTGGCATTCCCGTCGTTTCCTCGACCACCGTTCCTATCAGCCGGTAAACCGGTTAGCACCGAACCAGCGGATGTCACTTCCTGTTCCAGCTTCGTAGGCTAACTCATGCTTTACATGTTGTGTAGAATTAGCATTATTAGTTAATTTTCAGAAATGGAGTGGTCTACCGTGGCGTGGTTGTGGCGAAAATGGTCAGTTTTTATTCTGTTCAACATGCATTTGAAAATTAGTCACATGTGTTCAATTCAAGGGCGACTTTACAAACAACGGTCTTGGGCATATCACCGTATCATTTTCTTTATGGTGCATCTGTGATCTGCTTGTACCCAGGTCTGCAACAATTGCTCCGAATGTGGTCAGAAGCCATCCTGGTCTACTACACTCACTGTAGAGGCGAACTGACTTGTTTCTCGTAGCTCTCCGGTCTCACTGCACAGTAAACCCTGGTCTACTTGGCCTGATCTATCATCGGTCAAATAACCATAAGCTCGGCTTTGTTTGATTTATTTCGTTCATCTGACCACGTCATTGTTCAATCCGTTTCGCCGCTGTAACGTCGTCCGTTTTCGTTCCTTTTCACTCCTCTAACCCTGCCCGTGTCCCGTTTTCAGCCGGACGTGTGGAAAGAGCTGCTTCTCGCGGTCATCGGAGAGCAGTTTGACGATTTCGTCGCCGAGGATGACGATATTTGTGGCGTGTCCATTTCGGTGAGTGTTGAGTGTTCACCGGCGCCGGGTGGGTGGCTGGTAACACTCAGTAAGTGCGTACTGATAAAACTAAGTCGGGTTATCGACGTTAGGGGTTGATAACAGGATTGCTAACTGCGCAACATTACCTATATTTATTGCTCAAGTGCAGTATCAGTCACAAAGTATGTCTGTTATACCATAAAGACATAGAGACCATTATTTGCTCGATTAGTCATGATATTCTTCCCGATAAAGGGCTCACAGAGTCCTGACATTGCCGTGAAAAGACTCAATTCCTAGTCTATACCAACCGAATCGAGAAAAGAATGATTTTTTTTTTGTAACGAACTTAGTGGATAAAAAATGACTTGGGCGTTATTTTTTCCTGATTCTGGACCGTTTAATATTGGTGCTTGACGTACGGAATGTTTTGTACGTCACGTCTATATCAGATTGGTATGAAGTCTACCATAAAAGATGTATGTGTATGATATCTATATTTGATGTTAGGTGTAACTGTTTTTCTGACGTTTCTTCAGATTCGTGAGCGGGACGACCTTATCCAGATCTGGAACACAAACGCTGCCAGGCACGAGGAGGCCAAGGTGGTGGAAAAGGTCAGGTCGCTCCTACCCGGCGTCAAGTTCTCCGCCATCTTCTACAAACGTGAGTGCTCGACACTTCTGCCTCAGTTGTTCAGTATTGTTTGTGTTACTGATTAAAACAGTATCGACTATAAGTCACATTTTTATGTTCGTTTATGATTGAGATTGGCTTAGTATTTTATTTTATGACTTTGCCTTCATTAGTCGTGTTAGCGGCTTCATTAGACAGAACCAACTCATTGGCTACCAATCAGTGATAAGTTGAAATCACTAAGTCTGATTGAACCTGGGATTATTACCAGAATGTCGCAATGATTGCTAAATCAGCAAGAAAATTAATCGCAAGTCACCTCAGCCAATAATTACGGGAGGTCATTCCAAATTGTTATACGATGACGGGGATTGTTTTTAGCGAGACTGCCGTTTCATAAAGAAATGGAACGTTTCAGCGTTTGTTCTCTTAGCGACAGTCTCTTGATCAATGCTATAGCGCGCTTAGCTACACGCTGAGGAGCCTGTATGCTAAGGCTGCACGCTACCCGGAAAGCTGTGATTGCTAATTTACCTGTCGAGGCGCTTTTCTGATCGGGATCCCAGAATAACTGTTTCGACCCTTCGTATAATGATGACTTGAGTCGATAAACGAATGAATGTATGAATGAATGGATAAATGAATGGATAAATGAATGAATGAATGAATGAATGAATGCATGAATGAATATATGGCTGAAAAAAATGAATGCTGGATAGGGTTCAGGTTCCGGTTTAAGTTGAAGGTCAGCAATGTAGAAAAATGAAAACCATTATTTGAGTTCTGACGCCCTTTTCTACGCCACTCCCCAGGTCACGAGACTCACCACGCGTTCGAGGGCAAGAAATAGAGCTCTGAGAAAGTCCAAACCGCTCTGCTGCTACCAGCTTCCAGTTGTGCCAGGTCACTGGGTGACCCCGGCGACCTTTGGGTCAACGACCTTCAGACGTCGTGACCGACTATATAACGGCCAGACTCGCCTTTCCTGCAGGCCAGGAGCCGGGGTCAAGGGTCAGGGCTCGTTGCAGCGACCTTCAGATGAGTAATCGTTGGGTCAAATGATGTGAGTGAAGGGCATGGATGCGAGAGTGAAGTGAGACGAGTAACCGGTGTTGTAGCTGCTTGATTCTGCCTCGTGTGCTTGTCCGACAGAACATATGAGCTATTTTTATATGAAAGAGCGATCCAGGTCTGATCGAGAACATGTCTGTACTCTGTAGGGCATGTAAGTTGAATACGGGATGCTTAGAAGAGTTGGTGGGTGACGATGCCGCGCCCTGTTTGCTAGTAACTGTTTTCTGATGGATTTCTTCTCTCTCTTTTTACGGTTGGGGCCGCATATTTGTCAGTACCCTAACTTTCATCACTTGGTGCTCATGGACTGAATGGTAGGATCGAGAGGCGGTAGGATTGAGTGCCAGTGGAAAGTCATTTATTTTTGTCTAACCTAACCCATTCAGCCGCGTACATTTGTTACATCCTACCGCTCTTGGGATAGCACAGGCTATGCATTATGCAATCTACTTAACATTGACGCTGATCGCCCTTCAATATTCGAAGTCTTAAGTCTGATTTACAGCTGGTCCTGCATCGCTCTTTGCGTGGATTTTACGTGCTAGACTGATAAAGCGGGATTACAAAATATTAGACAAGATATGCAAAATGTATAGGCTGACAGCGGTTTGAAACTCGCGAGTGATAGACATACTTGATATATTCTTTGTTATCTGGGTGCCTACCCAATTGATCAGTGCAATGAGCAGCTGATCCAAACACCCTCTCATTCTTTATTCATCGGTATTCTCATATGAAAGCGAACTGTAATTTTGCTAACTAATATTTCATAATGCTACAGCTAGTGCCACATTTTCGTTTGTTGATCTCCAGTGATAGGTACCCTAAAACTAGCTCCGACCTACGTTCAAGCTCCAAGCAGTGTTGAGTTCCACACGCATGCATTTGTGAACAAATGCCCATAGATCGTGTTCAGAGTGGTTGACATGCTCTCTTTGAATATTGAATCGTTCCTTGCCAGGGCTCTAGATGAGTCGTTATAGCACGAATCAGTGGCTGTTTGTGTGCGGATTTTGTCCCACGGTGCCGATCACATCTTGGTCTGTGAGATTTGCGACGGTCCGTGCTGCCGTTGATGTTTGCTGCCGGTCTTGTCTCGGACAATCTGTGCACATCGCTACATGTTGTTAGCCTCTAACGTCATCGGCTAACATCGGGCGGATGCGTCAGATTGAATGCTCCGGGCCCAGTCCCGTTAGCAGAGCGTGGCATGCGAGACGGGCCGGTCGCCCCGAGCAGCGGCCTTGACGGGACCGGTCCGTGCCGACTGCGTGACTGACCTATACGTGACCGACTGTCGGTACGAGACGGGCGGTGCCGTCTTTCATGAGAGCGATGTAACGCGGCGCCAGCCCCTTCACTGGGTGTTGCCAGAGACATGCGTTGAGAAGATCATGTTGAGTGCGTTAAGCTCAGAGCGGGTCCGATGTGTGTAATGCTTGGGGGTTTCGTTAGCAGGCTGAGACGGTTGCCAGTTGTCGGGTGGTGAGACGAGAGGATATGATTAGTTCCTGTCGCTCGTGCTATGCCAAATGTCGCTTCGCTCAACGTTTGTTAGGTGTCGCTTTGTGTGTTGCCTAGCCAGCTGGGTTTTGTCTTCGATGAACGACCTAACGTGGCGATGTGCTCGATTTTAGCTTGCTTTTACTGAAGAACGTGATCTTTTGTTGGCTCAGAATCGTAACGTACGTTTGTCGTCGTTTTGTGAGGATTAATATCTGTTCAAAGTTAGTTATTTCCGTGCAATTTGAATGATCGACAAACGCCAGTAGACGTTGTGATGGCAAAAGTCCTTGCGATTAGTTTCTACGAAACAGCTGACTGCGCCAGCTTCCATATTCTGTCCACCTGTGACCCTGTATGCTTAATGTTTATGTCTCGAACATGCCAAATCAAAACGAATCGCTTGACATCGCCACGGAAAGTTTGTAGCTGCAATTATCTTGCGTAGCGTGTTCGATCTGTTTAAGCTGGGCCTTCGACTGGTACCACCAGACCGTTGTTGTTGGCGATGGAGATGCTACTTACGGCGTCCCCCGCGCGAGAGCTGACTGTTAGAAGGCTTTGGTCGTTATCTATATGCGATGACCTGTTACTGTGCCGATTTACAATGAGCTGAGGGCGTTTACCTGGTAGGGGATGCCACACATTAGTGCTAACGCTGGCTCCGTTGTGCCGGCTAACGACAGGGGCAAGGCCAAGATAAAAATGCCAACGTTAGACGAGAGAGATGGTATGCTAGCCAAGAGTATATCAAACATGCTGTGAAGACATGCTATGCACATGTGAATTTTCGATGTAGGTACAATATTCGCAATATATGATATGCGTACAAGAAATATGTGTTTTGGTGGATGAGTCCGACCCCTGATGGCTACGATCCCGCTCGCTGGGATCCCTCCCCCTTCCCCCCCCCCCCCCCGGGACGTGCAATGTTCAGAGCAGGCTTTTTGTCAAGCATCATATGGAACTGGGACCTGGGTCCATCCATGCCGGAATCGAAATGAGGAACACTAGCCATGTGAAAGGCGAGCGTGAAGTGATCACTTCAAGTCGGAGGTAATTGGTAGCACAAGCTGGTAGCATTTCATTGTGCTCTTTATAACCTGCTTGCGGCAATCAGAATTCGCGTAAAAATTGTACTGTTCGCGCTTTCTTATTCTAATCGTGGTTGCTAGGCAACGCTCCAGCGAGGGGCTAGTTTACCGCAAGTTGCCTGGCAACTCGCTGTCTTGCTTCCTCTCCGTTTTGAGAGGTCCTATCAAAGAACACCATTTTCATGGTAAATATCTCCGGGACGTTTGTGTGGTTTATTCATTTTTATTTTGTAATTAATCAAGGGTTCGGTGTTTTATATACCCTGTGCTCCACCCAAAAATCCCTTGAAGAGTCTAGGATACAAAGGTAAGCATTTATCTTTTTCAGCCATTTGACACGCCAAGCCAAGGGCCTAACTCACTTGAAATGCACTTGATTAAACCTGTGGAATGTGGATGCTATGCTCTGAACTCTGAAGTCCCATGTCCCGACAATTCATCTAAATATAGGTTGAAAGGCAAACACACCCAATGTAGCCTGAAACCCAAAAGCAGGCTTTCAGCAAATCAAATATAGCATACTTAATTATATGAAATATAATTAACTATTAAGTATGCTCCTTGCAGACTCAGCAGAGAGCTGTTGATAAAAGTCACTTATTTTCTGTGGTTTGGTTCCCGTCTGTTGATATCCAACCTTATCAGACTGTTACTTCTGTAAAAACATTGTTTTAGTCATTCCTTTGGTTGCCTGTAAGCTTCTCGTCTACATACAAATTTTTATCCTGCGCCACTACCTTTCTCTGCATTCCACCTAAACCTAAACAAGAGTACTAGATCAGGATGGGGCTATCATATCATGTTCTGTAACACTGGGCTAGGTAGGTAAGTACTTGGGGAAGGAATTCACATTCAAGTGCTCTCTGACTCAAGTTGACATATATTGCTTATGCCAGTTTTAGATGTTATGCTAAACTTTCAACCAAACTGCATTAGGTACCTATACGTTCCCTAGGATTACACATGTCTGCTTTTTGTTTTATACATTATTTGATCATGAGATTGAGATATGACAAAAATAATACAAAAATCATGTAGATCATGGGTCACCTCAGCCCTCAGGTGAAGTGATTTTCACAGTGTCCTAAAATTGAGTTTTGTCTTGGGTGTCAGAGGGGGAAACTCACCACCAAAAACAGGGGTGAGAGTGGAAAACTGCTGATTCGATTAGATCCAAAAAGAGTGAGAAATGGCATAAAGCAGGCATTTTATTCTAAGGTGTAGAATGTTTGATGCTAAACCGGGCATCCACACAACTGCTCTTTTATATGTAAACAATCTAGGTTTTCGTGGTTGGGAGCGGAAAATTGTTCTTAGAAATTGCTGGTGAGAGTGGAAAATGAATTTCATATGGATGTCGTTTCCCACCCAAATCGACAAATTTTGGGACATTGGATTTTCAAGAGTACTTAGGTATTTTGAAAAAAAAAACGTTATACTCACCACCCCAAAATCCAAATACCTATTCAGTTTTGAAACATCAAGGCATATACTGGGATATACCTAATACCTATCAATAGAAATACCACCTAATATAACCAGAACTGCATAGTTATGCCATAATTGATCTAGGTTTTATAAAGGTTTTATGAGACTGGCCCCTTAATGAAGCATAGCTTTCAAAGTACTTTATTGAAATAGGAGGGTGTAAGAGAATGCAAGGGTATTGAGTTGCTTGAGTTACAAGTACCTTCTTAATTATGACAAAGTCAACTAGATGAATGATGACTAAACTACTCTTTTGCTGAAGATTACCAACTTATCCATTGACCAGTATCCATATTAATGACCCTTCGCTGATAGATCTTTTTATTACTGCAGAGAAAATGCATAGAAAGCAGGTAGTATGCAATGTGTACCAGCCCTTACTAAAGCTTTTCGCTCTGTCCGTCCCAGGGGAGCCATTTGACTACCAAAGTGATGTTTGGTGACTGGTGTGACTGTGTGAGTCCTGGCCCCTGTTGCAGCTGCTTCATTTGTGATTATTTTCTAGATTACTTGCAACCTTCATTAAGTGTGGCCATAACAGACCAGTGGCGAGGCCTGAACCACAAACTGTGAGCCCTGAGAGCTGTGACAACTTCTGAGTTCTCTGACCCTTAGCTCCAAGCGCCTCATACTCCAAGCCTTGAACCCCAACTGGAAAATAACGAATGTCGAGCTTATAGCTCGAATTCTGAGCGACGGTATTCAAACTCCAAAGCTCTTTCGAACTCCGAACCCCCCCCCCCCAGGCCCGACTCCCAAGTGACGAATCTCGAGCTCCTAGCTCCCTCCCGGAGCCTCGAGCCTCAAGTGCTGGTACTCGACATCGACCGCATCGGTCGGGGGCCGTGATGGAACGCAGCGTAACGGTGCACGCCGAACGCTGCGGAATAGTGCGGAACATATTAGCGAAACTGGCGGTGCTTCCTGCCTCAAAGGCGGACCTGTGTTATACGACTTATGTTGGGCCTTGTATATTTGCGTGCGAGACATGGGCGGATTTGCATAGGTGTGGAGTGGGGCAGACGAAATGAAGTTATTAGATGTGTGAAAATAAAAGTGTTACAATAGACATTAGACAAGCACTCTACGCTTGAATATTTTTCCGATTGTTTTTCGTACATTTTTTTTACGCAGTGCGGTGCGTTTTAGGACTGGAAGACCCAAACATTCCGATAGGAATTCCCGCTCTGTGGGTCTGTTCTACTGTGTCCTTCGGTGCATTGCACGGCTCGTCAGTGAGGCATCCACATCGCGTGCACTTCACTTATCATTCTGCACGGTCCAGTCGAGCCGTCACCACTCTGTCGGCGGCTGGTGGCCTCCCTACACCCGACCGACCTGTCAAACTCCAGTCTACCGCGCTACCGTGCCCGTCTGCCGCTGACACAATCTGATCGGATCCACTGACGCCGCGTCAGCCAGTCCGGTCGTGTCGGGCCGCCCTCGCTGTAAGCGGGCCGCTCGAATACACAGACGGCTGCGGAAACTGGGGCCGAACACACACACGGTGAAGGATCGTCGTGTGCCGCCGCCGCCCCGCATACGGGCTCGGTGGATGGTGGAGTGCGGGCGGGCGGCGCGTGAGGCGCGTGTCGAGCGGAGTGGACGCTTTGGAGAGTGTTCTGCTGAGAGGGAGCGGTGAGAAGTGTGGAAGTGTGCGTAAGGAGTGGAGTTTTTGGTTCACGGAGGAGGTTGAAGACAATTCCTGTCGTATGAGCGAGCATAGAAAGTGAGCAGTGGGCCGTGGGGTGCTGACTGCCGACAGCCGAATTTTCAGTGGAATTGTGACAGGTGGACTGCGGTAGAGGTCAGCGACTTTGTGCGGCGTCTTGCGCTGAAGCGAACGATCCCAGCGGGCTCGACAAGGTTGCATCGTTCAGTGATTGCCAGGTATGTCCACTTTCAGCGTTCTGACACTATGTAGGTTTTTGGATGTATGAATGACTAAAGGAAGAAAGCACGAATGTTTCTATACTCGTCTAAACTTTCGTTTGATGATGGGTTTAGCAGTTACTAGTACTTTTTACCCGGAACTGTCTACTGGTGCTCGTATTTAACACAAGATTCAAGTCCTATTTACTATTGCCGGAAAAATTATTTCGTGTCTTTTTTTCGCAAGGCTTCGACTGCAGCGTCGCTCGTTTCCGGCTGGCATCTGCATTCCCTTCCATCCCCTTCCTTTTTTCTTTTCATCCCCGTTACTGTGCCGTTTTTCCGTAAATTCTTTTCCGATTTCACTTAAAACTTCTAGTGTAACCCCCGTCCCCCGCTTTTCCCTCCCGTTTTTTTTTTTTGTGCGTCTTTCTGTCTCTGTAACGTCCTCACTTGTTCATTTCTGTCCCCTTCATAGTTCCTCCATCTACCTCTGTCTCTTAGCCATATGACTGCCTCTGCCCTTCTCTTCCTCCTCTCCTTGCTCTCTCCCCCTCTATCTCTCCTCCCCACTCCCACGTACTGGTCTCAATCCCTACCTCTGCCTTCGCTCTCACTTCCTCAGGCCATTCCTGTCGTGTCCCCGTGCTGTGTCGCCACGCCCTGCTCCCGTTGATAACTTCCCTACCTCCTGCCCTCCTCACCTGCCCTCCCCTACCGGCCCTCCCGGTTCTCCACGTAAATACCGGGGCCGACGCCCTCGCAGCCGCCGATACCACTCGCCCGTCCTCGCTGCGTCGCCGCCGACGAGAGTCTGCGTCGCCGCCGACGCGTGGTAGAGTCCGCGTCGGTCCCGACAGCAGGCGGGCGCCGACGGCCGACTCGGCCGCACGTGTCGGCCAGACGTGGTACGGAGTGCGAACGAACCGGCTTTGTTCGCACCCGGTACTGGAGTGACTGTGGAAGAATCGTGTACGTGTCGGGATAGTCGTGGCAGGTAGGAGTGTGGAGTCGGTGACGGCAAGATTACTTTGGTGACAGTGGAGGTGAGGTTTTTTGGTGAAATGGTGCGGTAATTTATTGAAGCATTTTAGGTACCTGTGCAAAACATGGGCGGCTTGCTGAAGTGGTTGAAGTGCTTCGGTGTTGCTCCTTTCGCCTTGTCTTTTTATGGGCAGTTTTTGTGAGTTGTACCTAGCGGCATGAGGCGATTGTTATCCGTCTTTCCCCATCCCTTTCCTCGATTCAGTATGCATGTTGTTGGGTATAATCCACTGTGAGACTACGAATCAGGTGTAGCACATCTGTTGTGCGAGGCGAGACTGACAGCGAAGTGATGGATACCAGACTCGAAGGAACGGTGACCGGAAACTACCAA